CATTGGGGGGGTGTCGACTAATATGCAAAGGAGTTCCTGCAACAAAAGGAGCCCTATGTTATGTCATTTTAGAAATAAAACAGGGAATGGATTTGAAGTAGAATGAAAGAGATCTCTTACCTCCTCAGTTTAAAGAACTTCTAACTCAGAACAATGCTCTTCCAAATATGGACATGGACTCTGGAACCAGGTCCTGCAACAATCCAAGATGCCAGCTCTGTCCCAGTGTTCATTCTAACAACATAATTCACCAAATCAACAACATGACCCATACCATCTCAGACTTGTTCACTTGTTCATCTGCCAGTGTTATATATGCCATCGAGTGTCACTAATGCCCTTGTACTCTCTACATTGGTCAAATAGATCAGTCCTTGTTGTTGTTGTTTAGTCTCACAGTCGAGTCCGACTCTTCGCGACCCCATGGACCAGATCACACCAGATCAGTCCTTGTACAAAACAATTAAAGGGCGTAAGTTTGACATTAAAAATCACAACACTCAAAACCCAGTGGGAGAACATTTTAATCTTCCCAGACACACCATTGCTGACCTAAAAGTGGCAGTCTTCAAACAGAGAAGCTTCAAGGGGAGATTACAATATGAGATTGCTGAATATGAGTTCATTCACAAATTCAGAAGAATGGCTTCCCCCACGGTTGAATAGGGACATAAGGATCCTTTGCTCACTACAGATGCTGATTTTTTGGCCCCCAGCGTGCCTGATTACGTATTGCTTTGTACCTTTACATGGTGACTCAGCATGACTTCTTTGCTGCATCCCTGCCGTCTTCTGACTGGTATATAAAGACTCAGGGATCTTCATTTCCACTTGTTGTCCCGAGGGCGAGCCTCCACAGGGATGGCCGCCACCGCTCGGGACTCTAATCCAGCCAACCCCTCCAGCCACGACTCTGTCGGCACCTACCGGGCGCTGCAGCCCACCGATCAGACTGGGAACAGACAGGATGGCCCTGAAGCAGCTGGACGCTGCCGCCTCTGTCGACCAACAAGCGGCAGGGGATAGTCCACCGGGAGGGGGAAAGGAGACTACACCGGGCCGATGGCTCGGCACGAGGGCCCGCCCACGGCCCCGTGCAGCACGAGGAAGGGGAGAAGCAGAGCTGATGCAGCCATCGGGTCCAGAGGGGGAGAGCCGGAAGGCAGCCACGCCCCAGACCCAGCATCTGGGGATAAAAGGAGGGGGTGGGGCTACAATAGGGGGTGGAGGGCAGAACACAGGGGAGAGTAGGTGGCACGGGACGGGAATAAGAGAGGGAACGCAGACAGAAGCTAAGGCACGAGAGGAGATACGGACAAGAGAGATAGAGTTGTCTAAGTGTGCCAAGAGAGAGCAGAGGGTGGTGACGTAACCTCCTCTCCGCCAGCTTGTCTGTTCCCCCCTTCTCCCCAGGTGGCCGGGTGTGGTGGCGGACAGTGCAGGGCGGCAGGCGACCAGCGACAACGACGAGGGGTCGTCTGGCTCATGTGACACTTGTATATGAAAGAGGGACCTTTGATTCTTGAAAGAGCATACTCCCAAAATTTTACTTGTCTTTAACGCTACTGGGTTCAAGTCTTGCTCTATCTCACCTAGAGGATAAGTCAATTTTTTTTTTAAAAAACAAGAGAATAAGTGAATTTCCCCCCAAAAAACCCAACAGCCCAAAACCACCCAAGAATTAATTCTACAAAGTTAAATCTTCTGGCAAAAATATATATATTCTAATTTCCCCCCCTTGAACTTGATCTCTGTCTTCATTCCAGATTGGAGAAATTGTAATATTTTGATTTCAGACTTCTGAAATAAATTGCAAATTTTTCAAGCAAACAGCTAACGTTTCAAGACAATGCCCAAAGGCCTTTGCAAACATCTCTTGGAACTGAATACTAACAACAGCCTGATAGCAGTAGAAAAGAGCAAGAGTCCAGTAGCTCCTTAAAGACTGACAAAATATGTGGCAGGTGTTGAGAAATAGACTCATTTTATGATTTATATCTGCTACACACAACAAATGGATTGTGCACACACTTGTATGCCATGAGCCTAGAGAAAGCTGTTTGAATTACCTACTGTGAGACAGAATTCACATAGGAACACTTGCCTGCACTTTATGCTAATGTAGCTTGCACACATTCCGCTCAGAGAGGATCATGGGAAGAAGAAGCAGATGTTAGCCATTGTTAGCAGAAAACGACAACCCAGAGAAGAAGATCCTCCATTACTGCAAAGACGAGATGCCACGTAGAGCATGGACTTTATCTGCATCTGTATAGCAGTTTCCTGTTGACGGTACCAAACTGGCCTGGGAAAGCCAAGATTCATTTGTACTACAAAGGAGAGGCAGGAAGAACAGAATTCGCACCTAGCCAAATGGTATTCCATGAGATAGAGTATAGTATTTCAAATATTGGCTCAACATAGAACCCCAGCCCCTTTCTACATTCACCAATCAGGTAGTTCATGGGATGGACTTGTGAGTAGGTGGGACTACAGTTTGGCAAGGTGCCACCCACCTGGAGATTCAACTGTATAACGCAGGACCATGCTTTAAGAGCTGGGCCAGCAACATTCCACCATCAACGCAAGACCATGCTGCAGGCTGGCCACACTCCTACCCACCCCCTCTTCCCTGCCTTAAAAATCTTTGTCCTTGCTGGATCTCTTTGGGGTGCGCAGCCAAAGACATCCACAGACACACACACACTAGCTAGCTGGTTCTGGGAGTGTGAATTAGTAACTACCCCTAGGAACCTTTCCCTTACCCTCCAATTTTTCCATTGCAACAAGACAGGACTCCTGGAAGCAGGCGAGTATAAACCGAAATATACCTACCTACTTCCAAGTAATTAAGAAACTATCTTTATATTCTTTCTGTATATCTAAAGGAACCTTGAGTGTATGTGAAATGAGAGACTGATGTTTTTGTATGTGTGAACTCGAAATCCTTCAGTAAAAAAGATTATTTTGTTTTGGAAAAACACCCGTGTGGTCTCCATTACTGGGTCTCTATAGACACAACCTTGGTATAGTTGGCCAGCACTCATGTTAAAATAGTTAGCCAACCTCCAAAGCATCCATTTTCTGTAGTGGAAATGGTTTCTGTAGTCTGGAGATCAGTTGTCATTTTGGGAGATCTCCAGGCCCCACCTGGAGTTTGGCAACCATATTAAATCGAACCTCCATTGACTATAGAATCTTAACTAAGACGTTTGCTCAATATATTTTCTCTCGTAGAAATTAGTGGGAGCAATTCATTCGTATGGGAGATGAGCAACAATTAGCATTATCATGATTTGTCCATACCTTCTGAAATTGGAGTGATTATAGTAGAGTGATTACAAAGCTACACATGTTACAAACAAAAAAAATATGATTAGTTCAAAGACATTGCCAGATCTCAAAAGCCTGAACACAAGGGACCTGGTGCACAAGAAATGCACAAGGGAGGAAAGCCGTATGTGAGATCACACAAGAACACAATGTTATAAAGACTCCAGAAGGTGCAGGAAAAAGCCAGAACTATGGAGCAAATGATCTACTTTCCTCATCAATGCCAGCAATCTTTTTTTCTTTGCCGATGATTACTGACAACTTTCTCAGGGGTGGAAATGTAACACCCCTCTGACCAAAATGTCTGTTTCCTGTTTGTTGGCCTGCTTTTCAAGGACACTTGACTGGAGAAAAATGGTTGACTTCACATCAAAATGATTGTAATGTCGGGGTTAAAAGATAACGTTAGAGCAGGTGGCTTCTCTGTTGACCTCAGTGTGACAATGGTCTCTGGCTCCATTTTATACCAGATAGTAGAATAGAGTGGATTGTGGTAACAATTGACCAAGAGGAGAAACATCTGCAGAACCTCACCGTTAGTAGTAAAACAGGCACTACTATGCCTACACCAGGAAGGAGAATCTGTATAACACTGTGGTGTTAGAGACTGGGAGGAGACCTGTCTTTCTTTCACACCTGGGAGTGCCATCTGTCTGTTCTCTCGAGTGTTCTAGTTCTCACGGCTGCAAAGATCCACTTGAAAACACGTATCAAGTCCAGTATCGTCTTCTCTGATTAGTAACAGCTATCATCTCAGGGAGAGATCCTTTTCAGCCTTGTTACGTACGTAAGTAAGTGCTGTCAAGTTGCAACCCACTGATGATGACCCCAGCAAGTGGTTTTCAAGGAAAGTGAGAGACAGAGGTGGTTTGTCATTGCCTTCCTTTGCAAAAGTCTTTCTTGGTGGTCTCCCATCCAAGCGCCAACCCTGCTTAGCTTCTGAGATCTCTTGAGATTGGGCTACACTAGACTGCCTTTCCTCCATTAGCCCTTCTACCCAAGACAATATTAACTAGCCATAACAGTGACTGAACCCAAGAATTTCTGCTATGGAATTTCTGCAAAAGGGAATTAGATAAGCATATGGAGCAGAGGTCCATCAGTGGCTATTAGCCACAAGGTATAGATAGGGACTCTGGGGCAAGTGATGCTCTGTCTTCTTGGTGCTTGGGGGGGGGTCAACAGTGGGAGGGCTTCTAATGTCCTGGCCCCACTGGTGGACCTCCTGATGGCACCTGGTATTTCTGGCCTCTGTGTGATACAGAGTGTTGGACTGGAGGGGCCTTTGGCCTGATCCAACATTGGTGTCTCTTATGTTCTTATCAGAAGTCAAGAAGAGAGAGGATGTGAGCAGAACTTGCAGTTATCAGAGGGTAGGGATGTAATGCCGTCAATAAACTCATTTGTCCATAGTACAGGAAGCAGAATGGCGCAGGTATGTGGATATAACAATTCAAGTTGCCGAACGGAGGGTTTCTGAGAAAATAATTTCAGTTCAGAACTCATTCTCTTATAATACATGGGAACTAGACCCACCCACATAGATATATAGCAAATTGTATGAAAGTTGGCAAGGTATCCCAGATGTTTCAGCATTTTCAAAGGTCTCCTTACTCGGTCACTCTCCTCTGTGTGTTGCAGAGATAATCCTTGCATCCATGAGTGAAATGGAGTGTGACAACCAAACACTGATGACATTTGTCCTGTTGGGGGTCCCATACCCTCCTGAGCTACGGGTCCCTTTGTTTTTCTTTTTTGTGTGCATCTATTTGCTGACCCTCCTTAGTAACCTCCTGGTCCTTTGGGCTGTCGTGTATGATCCACAGCTTCACAAGCCCATGTACTGGTTCCTCTGCCACTTGTCTGTCCTGGATATCGCCACATCCACAGTGGTGGTGCCCAAGTTGATCGCTGTGTTTCTGGAAGATGGCGGCGTCATCTCTTTCGGGGGCTGTGTGACCCAGCTCTTCTTCTACCACTTTGTGGGATGCTGAGAATGTTTCCTGTACACTGTCATGGCTTACGACCGCTTCCTGGCCATCTGCCGCCCACTCCATTATGGCACCCTCATGAACAGCAAGGCGTGCCTTTGGCTTGCTATGGGCACCTGGGCGGGTGGCTGCTTGCACTCAGCCATGGAGACAGCCCTCACCTTCCGTCTGCCTTATGGGCCAGATAATAGAGTGAGCTACATCTTCTGTGACATCCCAGCTGTGCTGAAGCTTGCCTGTGCCGACACGTCGCTCAACGAGATGGTGACCTTGGTTGACGTTGGGATCGTCGCCATGACTTGCTTCCTCCTTATCCTAACGTCTTATGTGTACATCGTCTCCACCATCCTGAGGATCCAGAGTGCTGAAGGGAAGCGGCGCGCCTTCTCCACTTGCACGTCCCACGTCATCATTGTGATGACCTGCTACATCCCTCTCTCTTTTACCTACCTGAGACCTGGGGCACAGGATCCACTGGGAGGGATGGTGGCCGTCTTCTACACCACGGTGACCCCTTTCCTGAACCCCGTAATATACACTCTGAGGAACAAGGAGATAAAAAAGGCCATACTGAAACTAAAACGCAGGAAA